AAGTGTGTGTGTGTGTGTGTTTGTGTGTGTGTGATTGCATGCAAAACCAGAGCAACAAGTCGGATATCTTCCTACATTGCTTTTTTTTCTTCTTCTTCTTGACACAGAGTTTCTCAATAAACCTGAAGGTCGCCATCCCTCAACCCTGGTGTTACCAGCGTGTGTGGCCATCCGAGATTTAAATCCAGATTCTCCTTTTGTTTTGTTTTGGTCTGAGTGCTCTGTCTGCATGTTTGCCTGCATGTCAAAAGAGGGCACCAGATCTCATTACAGATGGTTATGAGCCACCATGTGGTTGCTGGTAATTGAACTCAGGACTTCTGGAAGAGCAGCCAGAGTTCTTAACCACTATCTTTCCAGCCCCAAATTGTTTTCTTTTGTGGGACAAACACTCTTAGCCACTGAGTCAGCTCCCCTGCACCCTCTTCCTTTCTCTTTATTTTTGTGATGTTGGAGGATCATATCTAAGGCCTTGCATATGCTAGGCAAAGTTTGAATGAGAATAGTCTTCATTGGCCCAGATATTTGAATGTTTGATTCCCAGTGGCAGAAACTGTTTAGGAAGGATCAGGAGGTGTGGCCTTGTTGGAGGAGGTATGTCACTAGAGTGTGGGCTTTGAGGTTTTAAAAGCCCTCACCAGGCCCAGTCTCTGTCTCTGTCTCTGTCTCTGTCTCTGTCTCTCTCTCTCTGCCTGCATCTTTATGGATCAGATAGATGTATGCTCTCAGTTACTGCTCCAGTGGCCATGTCTACTGCCTGCTGCCCTGCTCCCTGCCATGATGATCATAGATTCTAACCTCCTGAAACTGTTAGCAAAATCCCCAAATCAAATACTTCCTTTTGTAAGTTGCCTTGGTCATGGTGTCTCTGCACAGCAACAGAACACTGACTAAGACAGTCTATCACCGAGCTATGTTTGTCTTTATTTGTCTTATGATAAGACTCTGAGCAAATTGACTTAAAGGGACAGGGCTTGATTTTGGCTCAAACTTCCAACGATCTGGGTCTGGGGTGGGGCAAGAAGCCCTGGCAGGGAGCACACGGTAGAACAAAGAGAGGAAATGAGGGATGGAAAAGGAGTGAGGGAGGAAGGATGGAAGGGAGGAAGGGAGGGAGGGAGTCTCTGTGGTATTTTCTTCACTAATGATTGATCTGGGAGGGCACAGACATCGTGGGCCACATCACCATTTAGCAGGTGTTCCTGGGAGGTAACAGAAACTTGTCCCAAGGAGCAAGCCAGTAAGCAACAGTTGCTCCATGGTTTCTGCCCTGAGTTCCTGCCTTGGCTTCTGTCAATGGGCTGTGACCTTGGATATGTAAGCCAAATAAACTCTTACCTCCCTGAGCTGCTTTTGGTCGTGGTCTTTATCATAGCAATAGAAAGCAATCTAGGACAGTGCCCATCACCCCATTCTCCCTTGGATCTGGCCCCTGACAGGCCTGGCTGCTTAGCAGAGCTCTGGCTTTTGGAACTTAGCTCTTACCTCTTCTGTGATAGCCCTAATGGCAGGGTGCTCCAGTCTGGGGTCAGTGTGTCAGGCTCAACACTGGGCAAAGTTCAGAAATATTGCAGCTATGATATTTTGCTCTGCTTTAATGTGGAGGGATGAGAAGAGCAGACACCTAAGACAACATTGGGCAATAAGCAAGTTTGCAATCCCAATACTCAGCCCACTGAGGCAGGAGGGTTGTGAGTTCTAAGCCACCTGGGGCTAAACAGGAGACCAAGTCGCAGAACAAAACAAAAGCGGCACAGTAGAGGCTGTAACCTAGGAAGACCCCTGGGGCCTTTGTGAGGGTGAAAACAGAGTCATGGGCAGAGCCCTCTGCCTCAATCCTTCTACTTCCTTCCTTCCTTCCCCTCCGTCAAGGCTGAGCCTAGAAAGGTGAAGAATATCAGAACAGCACCTTTCTCTCCCAATAGTCTGAAAGTAGGCAGATGGATTGGCAATGACATTCAGGTGAACTCAAGGCCAGACCCCTGCAGGACCCTCTGTGACAGGCTGGCCTTCCCCTTGTCACACTTCTGCACTTCTAGGAGTCTGTTTTCTGCTTTGATATCTAATGCTTCACAGTTCTGAGCATGTTCTGTTGCAGGTGGCTTTCTTTTGGTGTGAGTGAGTGTGTATATGTGTGTGCATGAGTGAGTGGGTGTGTGCGTGAGTTAGTGAATGATTGGGTGCATGCGTGAGTACTTGAGTGAGTGGGTACAATATGTGTGTGTGTGTGTGTGTGTGCGCGCGCGCGCGTGTGCGCGTGTGTGAGTATGTGTGTGCAAGCATGTGGAGGCCAAAGGACAGCTTCAGGTGTTCCTCCTCAGGAGTTATCCATTTTGATTCTTTGAGGGAGCATCTCCCATTGGCTTGGGGTCCACCAATTAGGCTAGGCTGGCTGGCCAGCAAACTCCAGGAATTCTCTAGTCTCTGCCTCCTGAGTGCTGGGATTAAAGATGTGCACCATCATGCCTTGTGCGAGCCCATGCTTTTAATCACTCTGCAGGTTTCCCTCAGGATCATATTGGTGAGCCAGAAATGCTCATCAAGCTGGTGAACCACAAATGGTGGGATGGAGCCTAAGCTCAGAAGTTAATTGCTCTCAAAGAGGACCCCTGTTTGATTCCCAGCTCCCTCCTGGTGGCTCACAACCATCACTAACTCCAGTAAAAGGGGATCTGACATCCTCTTGTTCTTACTGTACAAATCAGAAACCTGAAGGCTTAACTTCCACCCTTGACCCAAAGTAAGGCTTTTTTAAATGTGTATGAGTGTTTTGCTTGTATGCATTTTGCATGCATTTACACATACCACATGGATGCCTGGTGCTCTAGGAGGTCACCAATTGAAAAATCTATTAGAACATGTAACTATCTAGATGATAGTTTGAGGAGTTGCTTATATTTGTTCAAAAGTTTTTGTTTTCCTGCCTGGAAACAAAGTGGTGGATTTGATGGGGAACAGAGCAGATTCAGCTTTTGCCCATAGGGCAGGAAATCTGCCTTGGAACGCTCACATCAAGCCTACTATCCATAAGAACAATTAGATGGGGGCTGGAGAGATGGCTCAGGGGTTAAGAGCATTGCCTGCTCTTCCAAAGGTCCTGAGTTCAATTCCCAGCAACCACATGGTGGCTCACAACCATCTGTAATGAGATCTGGTGCCCTCTTTCTGGCATGTGGGCATACATAGAGGTAGAATGTTGTATACATAATAAAAAAAATCTTAAAAAAAGAACAATTATAGAATAGAAATAACATAGAATGAAGTAAGTAAGTTTTGCTTGCTTGTTTTATATTAATATGACATAAGCTAGTCATTTTAAGAGGAGGGAGCCTCACTTGAGAAACTGCCTTTGTAAGCGCTGCCTATAGGCAAGTCTGTAAGGCATTGTCTTAATTAGTGATTGCTGTGGGAAAGCCTAGCCCATTATGGCTGGTGGTCCTGGATTCGATTGGAAAGCAGGCTGAGCAAGTTGTGAGGAGGAAGCCAGTAAAAAGCCCCATGGGCTCTTCATCCGTTTCTTCAGCAGCTGGGATGGGAAGGTATGCTGGCAGTCGGGAGCCAAGGAATACAACAAAGTCACACCGCACAGCCAACTTCACACGGGATTTATTAAGAAAGGTGAACCCAAGCTGCCTCTGCTTGGCTGAGAAACGGAAACCTAGGCAGAACACAAGGTTTCTATAGGGTTTCTCGGTGTGTGTGTGTGGGGGGGGGGGGGGACGCTTTCCAGGATGGCCTGGCATTGGAGGGATTATGTGGCCTGATCTTGAGGCGAGTTCTGGGATTGGTGGGAATTTTTCTTGTAGGGCAGGGCCTGACCACTCACGGGCCAGGTCTGGGAAAGGCTGTTCAATAGCTGTTAGAAAATGGCTGTTAGTGCCGTTAGGGAAGCCTAGGGTCCAGGGCCTTACAAAGCTCAGAAAGCATAACAAAGTTCACCAAGGGACCCAGGGACAGTCTTTCCTACCGTTTGAGTTGGAGTGAATTGCCAACACTCTTAACTCCAGGTTTATTCCCTGTTTGAGTTCCTGTCCTTATCCTTCAATGATGAACAGTGATGTGGAAGTGTAAACCAAATAAACCCTTTCCTTCCTAAGTTGCTTTGGTCATGGCGTTTCGTTACGGCAATAGTAACCCTAACTAAGACATAGATTTTCCTTAAAACCTACTCATTCCTTCTTTATAGTTAAATCATATCTAGGTTATAATACCTAAGGCTACCTAATGAGCTTTTAAAATGCATTGCTAAGGGAATAACAAGAAGAAAAAGGTGTGTATACGTTCGGTGTAGACCCTCCTTAACTTCTCCCCTGGAAGTTTTAGACCTGCTGTGGGGGGCTCTGGATACAAAGTTGAAGATATGGGGACCCACTGTTCTTGCCTGACATTCTTGGCCTCAATCTTTCATTTCATAGAGTAACATTTGTGTGTGTGTGTGTGTGTGTGTGTGTCAATGAGTTTACTTAAGGTTGCTTAGAGAAACATATGCAGTTTACCAGTGACTAAATACCATTGAAGGAAAATGTCTTTCTGTCTCTCTTACAATCTATGGATCTCGGGTAAGTATGAGCTTTTCCCCCTACCAACTGTTAACTGCCTACAGAATTCAGGGATGGGCAGGGCCTCACAAGCCCATTCAAACGACTCTTAAAGTCACTTTCAAAATGGACAGTTTTGTATGTCTTAGATTTACTTATTGGGGTGTGTGTGAAAAGTGTAGACTGGGATTCCTGGCTATCCCCTAAAAGTCATTGGAATTACACGGGTTAATCGAAACGGAAAAACTACAGCTCCCGGCACGTCTCGGGACAGTGTTCCCACCCTTTCTTTTGCTATGCACCACCAATGACAGTTAAATATTTGAATAGACCAATAATAGAATGAAACTGCTCATTTGTAGGCGGGGCCATAGGTTCATCCAATCGTAGGGGGCTCGAAGAAACATTCTAGCCAATCTAAGGCTTCGGGGGCGGAGCTTGAGGCGGGGCCGCGGACCGAAGTGCCGCGGAAGATGGCGGCTGAGGCGCTGAGTGGAGGGGAGGCACCGGCCTGCGACTCCGGCCGGAGGTGAGCCAAGTTCTCAGTCCCGCTGCCTAGGAGACGGGGCTGTGGGCTGGCGATGTCGCCGCCCTGCCCTTGAGTCACCGTGGCCCACAGGGCCGGGCTTTGTTCCGCTCTCCCGTGGTGTCAGCGCCGTCGCGCCTGCGGGGGCTGAGGCGCGTCGCTGCGGTCTGTGCTCCCGGCCGCGCGTGGAGCCCGCCCTCCGCTCTGGCTGCAGACGCCCGGTCAGGACCGGTACCTGCCCTGGCGCCGAGCGCTTTGAGTGGAAGCTGAAGCCCGGAGTGGGTCAGCGGACACCCCCGCCCCCCCAACGTCACTGGAGCTTTAAACGCCCTCCAGGGACATTTAAAGTCCCAGCAGGGACTTGAGTGACCGTGCCCCCAGGCTGGCTGACCTCTCTGGGCTTCAGTCTTCGTCTGTAAATGGACATAGCAATGCCTATTTCAGAACCTGGACGGAACGAAACAGTCCCCTTTAGAGCGCCTGGCACCCAGCCTGGCACCCAGCCTGGCAAATCCTATTTGAAGGAGAACAGCTAAGAACAACACATCGTGGGTTCTGCTGTCCATGAAATTGTGACTTCATTCTTCTTTCAGGAAAGCCGAGTCTGTCCTCATTGATTACTGATATTGGGGACCGATTCGCTCCAACAGAATGAGGTTATTTATATTGTCTCAGCAATGATCAGTGCCATGCTTTGGTACCGATGGTAAGGAATGTGAGAGTCCAGGAATTTTGAGAATCTGGGTTTGTGAGCCGGGTTCTTCCTGAGCCCACATGGGCTTGTTTGGGTATCTGGAGGAGTTTCCTACTCTTTGACCTACCCTCACCCTGCCCCAAACTGTGCTGTGGGTTGATAAACGTCATTAGACCACTGTCACCCAACTCCGAAAGTCCTGAATTGTAATGAAAACGAGGACAAATGAAATACTGTTCTCCAGCACAGGACTCTGAATTCCTGTGCAAGGCTACTGCCAACTGAACCAAAAATTTTAAACTATTTACTACATGGTCAACACAACACAGTTTTATCTGACTCTGAAACCTTCTATTGCTGTTATTGAGACAGGTTCTTGCTAAGTAGCTAGGCTGGATTGGAACTCCCAATCCTGCTTCAGCTTCCCCTGTACTAGTTACTGCATATTGCATATTTGGGGTTCTTGTGAACTTATTTATTTACTTTGTTGTGTGTGTATGTGTTTGGTTGGTTTGTTTTTTGTTTTCCAAGACAGAGTTTCTCTGTGTAGCCCTGGCTGTTCTGGGACTTGCTTTGTAGACCAGTCTGGCCTTGAACTGAGAGATAGGCCTGCCTCTGCCTCTCTGCCTCTCGAGTGCTGGGATTAAAGGAATGTGCCACCACTGTCCTGCATATTTATTTCTTTGAGAGTCTCATGTAACCCAGCTTGACCCCAATCTTAAACTAATGATTACCTCTACCTCCCAAGTGCTGGGATTACAGGCATATGCCACCAAGCCCAGTTTTATGTGGTGCTAGGAGTCAAACCCAGGACTTCATTCTGACTGAGCTATATTTCCAGACCCATTTAATTAATGGGGGCTTAATATTTTTTTAATCTATTATCTATCACGTGTGTGTGTGTGTGTGTGCGCACACAGGTGCCACATTGCATGCCTAGGAGGTCAAAAGACAGCTCACAGGAATTCTCTTCTTCCAGCAGGTGGACCCGAGGAGCAAACTTGGATTGTCAGGCTTGGCAGTGAGTGCCTTCTTGAGCCACCTCACTGGCTGACCGCCTGGGTTAGCATTCATAGCTATGGTGCATACCTCTTTCTTTCTGGTGTCTTAGCTAGATCCTGAGGAGGCATTTGTTATATGAGAACAGCTCTGTGAGATCAACTTGTTGTAGCAGTGGGTACAGGAGCAGCTGTAGATTCAGTACTGGACAGTAACGTGTATAGTTAATGTCTGTGGGGACTAAAGGTGCTTGTTCTAGGAAGGAAAGCCTAGGAAAAGGAGAGAGAAGGGAGGGATGACAGCTGTTTGTTAGACACGGACATGTTCAGGATCGGTTAGCAGGATTTTCTCACGTTGAGCCTCAGTAGTACTGGCTTGAGTTGGGCATCCCCTGCATTTGGGGTGTCGTTACTGCTATAATCTGGAGAAGTTGAGCTTCATAACATTTTACTGAGCAAACTCATTAAGAACATATATCATGAATCTAAATTCTCCTTCAATCTGCATTTCTCTGTTTCAAATATCAATGACTTAACAGTCTGCTTAGTAAATACTAGCATAAAATTTTGAATTTGTAAAGTGCTGTTATTTAAAAACCTTTAAAAATAGCTAGGTGTAAAATTATAACTGTGTTCTGGGATTAGGAGATTTAGAAAAGAGACAAGCTGATCTGGTGGAGGGGAGGTTGAATGTTCCTTTATTAATTGAAGTCCCCAAATGAGATTTTGATGATTCCATTCAATTTAGAAGAGACTAGAATTAAAATCTCATCTTTGGAGTTTAGTTTGTTATTTGGTAGGGGCCATTTAAAGAAAATTGTTATTACATATTGTTTTTCTTTTTATAGAACCTAATACTGTATTTACATTTGTGACGTAGTTGATACTGTATATCACAGTTTCAGGTACTGGGTGAGCTTGTTTCTGGGCTCTCTATTTTCCTTGTCCATTTTATTTTCTGTTTTTAATCTATTTGGTAGATAAAAACATACACAAAAACTACTAGATATGAGCCCAGAAGTGTAAAGAGCACTGTGAGCCTCCCTCCCTCCCAAGGTCTGTGTCACCAGTAACCTGAGCCCCATTGTGTGTGTCTACCCTGTGCTCCTCCCATGCTTATCACCCCTACCTCTCCTTTTGTGGTGCTGGGGAGGTGTCTGTTGCTGAACTATGTCCCCATCCCTCTCATTTTTTGCTTTAAAATCAAAATAGTTTAGGTAGGCGTGGTGGTGAACATTTGTAACCCTTGCACTAGTGAGGTTGAGGTAGGAGAAGCAGGAGTTCAAGGTCAGCCTCAACTTAGGTAGAGAGTTTGAAGCCAGCCTGGGCTATATGAGACCCTGTCTCAAAAACAAAACAAAAAAACCCAAACCAAAGTCCATCATCTTGGACAATGAATATATGCTATATAATAATTTCTGTGTAATAACTATCTAACAATAATAAAATTAAAATTTTAAAGAATTGAAGACCAGGTATACACATACCTGTAAATCTCAGCACTAGGGCAGCTGAGGCAGGAGGATGGTGAGTTCAGCATCAACTTGGGCTAAAGTTAGTGAGACCTGTCTCAAAAAACAAGACAAAACATCAAAAAAACCCCAACCAGCCAAACAAACAAACAAAAACCCAGAATAAAGCAAATAAAAAATCTCTCCAAACTATAAATTTTCATTGAACTCCTCCAGAGCAAAAGCACTGACTGATCCTTGGACAATATTCATCACTCTGGGTTTTGGAACACACAGATGTAGCCATAGAATTGCTTCTAGCATTAATTGCCTGGAGCTCTTGTCATTTAAAGTCTATAGAAAATAAACTTGCACTGGGTAGTAGTCCAAGCTCTCAGGAGGCAGAGACAGGAGGGTCTCTGTGAGTTCAAGGCCAGTCTGGTCAATAGTATGAGTTCAAGGATAATCAGGGCTACACAGGAAGACCCTGTCTTTAAGAAACCAACCTCCCCTCCCAAAAAAAAGAAAACAATCTTTGACTCTCCTTGTTTGAGGAGTGAGAGATTTAGACAGAATTGGATAGTGAGGGGAGCCTGTTAAAGAACTGTCCCATAGAACATTCCTCAAATAGAGAATTTTGATGTTACTTTAAAAAGATGAGTTTTATTTATGTGTACATGTGTATGCCTGTGTGAGTATATGCCACATGTGTGCAGGTTCCCATAACAGGACAGAAGAGGGTATTGGGTTCTCAAGCTGTAGTTATAGGTGGTTTTAAGCTGTTTGATGTATGTGCTAAGAATTGCATTCCTGGTCCTCTGGAAGATCAGCAAGCACACTTAATCACTGAGCTGTCTTGCCAGTCCCTGATGTTACTTTAAAAGAGCAACAACATCTACACCTCGTTATTATGTGTCTATGCTGTGGCACACTGGTGGAGGCTGGAAGACAGCTTTCAGGAGTTGGTTCATTTTTGTCATCAGATGTGTCCGGGGGATCACAGGTTGTCGTGCTGAGCCATTTCACTGGCGTGTCGGTGTTATTTTTGTAATGCAATTAGCTTCCTTCTCATTTTACATTGTTTTGGGGGAGGATATTATGAGAGATGTCAACCACAAGAGTAATGCCAATTCTTCTGACACTCAAAAATAATTACCAATAAGCCAATAAAGTGGTGGGATGCTCTGAGAAGTATAACTCAGTGTCTGAATTGAGAACATTACGTTGTCATTGAAGAGAACACACTCTTCCATTAGATTCCAGTGTAGGGGTAAGAAGGTAAGCTTAGCCCTGAATTCTTTCACCTCTGTTTTGTCAATTTTTGTTAAGTTGTTCTTGTCGCTTCAAATTAGTTTATGCTGAGATCAAATATAGGGGCTAAATACATTTTGCAAATGGTTGTAGCCTAGGAGATAGGTGTGAGTGTTGTGACTCAGATGGAAAGGTATCCTGGCGGTTGGGAGCCAAGGAATACCACAAAGTCACCACAAGCCTAACAGCTAACATCACTGCTCTAGGGAAAGGTTTCTGCTCTGACAGGAGAGGGTTTCCCCAGCAATGCAGAGAAGTGTGACAACTCTGCTCCACCAGGGCTAAGTTTCCCCAGAGAAAGTGTTACAGTTCTGCTCTGTCAAAGATGTCACATCTCACGACAGACTTCACTCCAGATTTATTGGGAAGAAAGAATCCAGGAGGTGGCTGCCTCTAGGATGAGGGAGTAGCAAGCAGAACAGTGTACAGAGTTTATAATATACAGGATTTCTTGAGGGGGAGCTTTCCAGGGTGGTTTGGGATTAATGGATTTTTGTGGCCTGATTCTGGAGCAATATCGGGGATTGTTGGGATTCTGCAGCCTGACTC